CAGGAATGTCCCCAGGTGTGGGAAGACAGCAAATTCATAGGTAGGTGCAGGGGGAGTAGGCAGTAAATGCCTATTGCAGGAATAGCTGCCTACCAATAGGACAATAGGGTAGAGCTCTGGTTAGGTAGCAAGGGCACTACTGTAATTTGGCCAGAGAAACAGCAGTAAACTGCCCTGGAGGGTGAGGGGGTGCACCTGCAGCCAGCCAGGATAACTCCAGGAAGAAGAGTTCTGGCCAGCTCAGGCTGGTAAGGAGTGGGAGCTGCAAGCCATGGCAAGTACTCCCAGGGCTGAGAGAGCCAGGGAATGGGGTGGTGGCTTGGCAGTAACATGATGACCCAGAGCGGGGTTTTGAGTTTAAAGTGGCTGCTTGGATTTTTTGTTTTAGTTTTATGCTGGAGGACTAGTGTGAATAATAGGGATGGAAAGGAGGCTCCAGGGGTGCTGGAGGAGCATGCCAGGTTTTAAGCCCTGCCAGAGGCAAGAGCATGAGATAGAAACAGGCTAAGGTTGAGAGGGCCAGGGCTGGAGTGCAGAGGGGGTGATGGAGGTGGTCTGAGGCCGAGACTGAAAGGCCAGGCCAGGCCAGTGGGCCTAAGTTACCAGTCTACAGCCAGAGTAACCTGTAGGCTAAGGCTAAGGCGGTGAAAGCCTATACAGGAAAGTAAATGATGCCAGAGTGACACCTGTGAGGCATAGTCATGGCTATGGGAAAGGCTGGAGGCCACAGTTAAGAGCCCTAAGACTTAAATAAGGGCCACAGGTGGTGATCACTGGCTCACAGTGCCAACCTGACACCAGTAGGTCTGCCAGGGCATGACAGATGCCTGTAGAGAACTGTTATTATGGTTAGTGGGCAGAGGGCCTAGAGACCACACGAGGTCAGTCAGGATTGGTCGGGCACTGGTGAGAGCACTCCAGGGCTCAAGGGAAGCCTCCCAATCGCATCAGCAGAACATCAAGGCATGGCAGGAGAGCTAAACAGGGCAGGTTATATAGAAGACTGGGAGCATGAGCAGGATTAGAGTGGCCCCTAGGAGGTACTATGGCAAACCCAGGGCCTATCCTGCCACAGTGCCGATAACTTTGGGGTTGTGTCATTGGTGCTGACAGCCTTGATTCAACAAAATACGTATCTTTAAGTATATGTGAGTAATCCCACTGAAGTCAGGCCAAATTCCCTTTAGTCAAAGTCTTGGGTTTCTGTGGAACTCCATGTGCATAGGAACATGAATGTCCCAAGTAAATAAAAATTATGAGTGAAGAGTATGGATAGAGCAGAAGGAATGGAGTCAGGGTAAATAAAGTGAAATGCACAGCAGGAGGCACCAAGATAGAAGATGCTCAAGAGAAGGAAGTGGAAACAAAAAAGGGTCGAGTCAAAAAATACCCTATAAAATAGGGTTGCCAACCTTCCTTCCTGGAGTGGCCATGAGTCTACTGGAATTGGCATCAATCTCCCAGTGACTACTGAAAGCAAAGCAAAACTGCAGCAGGAGGAGTAATAGGAGCGATGCCCTCTTCTGCATAATATCCTAGTGGTTAGCACACTCACCAAGGAAGTCAGAAAGCTGGGTACAGTTGTTCTCTTAACTTAAGAGGATTCAAACCCACATCTCCCACCTTCTAGACAAGTACCCTAACCACCAGGCTATACACTAGGATTGTGAGAGGGGGGAACTCCTCATCCCTCCTGTTGAAAGGGACCACTGGGAAGAAAGGGATGCAAAATGAACGTAAAATTCATGGAGAAGACTCCAGATCCCAAGTGGAGGAGGCATTTGACTGCGGCCCTGACTCAGGCAGCTAAGCTCTGGAGGGATGGAGGGAAACAGTTTAGTGAAATTATAGTGCTTAGTTCGTCCCATTGGCCAGCCCTTGGCAGCTCCCTATTCTGTATACAGATTTTTAGATCACCCTTCTCAGGCACTTAACTCCTGCTATGCCCTGTATGGAAAGCATAGGCTGGGTATAACAGGGAACCCAAACTTTGAGAGTTTGAGTTTAAAGCAGTTGCTTGCATTTTTTGTTTTAGTTTTAAGCCAGAGGACTGGGAGTGGCTGTGGGAGCAAAGGGGATAACGAATAGATTACCAGGCAGGCACCCTTCATTGCAGGGCTGAGGCCTGGAGAGCCAGGGCCCAAAATAGTAGACTTGAGCCGAAGTGTTTCAGCTAGAGAAAAAGGGACTGAAGCCAAAAAGACTGAGGTTGGGGCCTGAGGGTCCCAGTGTTGATTCTAGGTAAAGAAAAAGAAAGAGCATGAGGAGAGTCTCTACAAAGGGGCAGACAGGAAACCATCAACAAGGCATGGGCATGCCTGGGGGGCAGCAAGGAAGCTTAAGACACCTAGAAAAGGACTCTCTCTGTCTCCAGGGGCAGCTTCCCTCTAAACACACATTGATTTCCATCAAATTGTAGCAGACAAAGTAAGAGGTAGAGTAGACTGGGTAGTACTGAAAAGAGAAGGGTAAAAAATCCAGACCCATCACACTGGGCACTGGATTCCACTCCAGGAGTCAAATTCACTACAACTTTGGCATCACAGCACCTGACTGGTAGGAGCACAAGTCTTCTATTTGAACTTAGCCCTAAGTGTTTAGTCATTGAAGATGCTGATACATCCAAATACTTATCTAGCATGTACCAAACTGTAAGCAGATGAGTAGTCCCATGGACTGCACCAGGACTACTTGCATAGTTAATGTTAATTTAGTGGTCTTAGCTGGACTGGAGCTGGAGGGCTTAGCACCTTGCTGAATTGAGCCCCCGAGACAGAACTTAGCCTATAAATCAGGAAAGCTTCCCTATTCGGGACAAAACAACACAGGGAAGCCACAGGAACCATCCCAACCCACATGGCTTCTGGTGCCCCCACACAGCTCCGCTATAGCAGCTGTGCTGGCGGGGCACACAGTGTACCCTGGGAGGTACCAGCTGTTAAAGGAGCTGTGGCTGCCAACAGACAGAATGGAGTCATTCACATATATCTTCTGGCGGTTTCCCTGTGGTGGAAGAAGCCTTCTGTCACTTGCAGAAGGAAGGACTTCTGCTGTCTCAGGGGAGTCAGACACACCTATAATTGTGCCAGAAGAACCTGAGTTCAGCTGCCAAAACCATGATGTGAAGGCCTTGACAAACCTTGAACAAGTCACTTACCCATTCCCACATTTGTAATAAAAGGACAATAATGCTTACTCCCCACCCCCAGGGTCTAATGAACATTTAAAGATGGTTAAGTACTGGATAATGTGCTGAATATTGTCCTACAGGTAAGTGCCAACTGTTTTCTAGGCCCATATTTTTTCTGATGAAACAGTAATGAACTCAGTTGCAAAAGGAAAGATGACTATGCTTTTAAAAGTATGGTGCCCGTATCAATCTCTGATTTTTATAGTTTAATGCAGTCCGAAAGCACAGATGTCATTTTTGTGGAAATGGAGCACCTTATGCAGTCCGAAAGCACAGATGTCATTTTTGTGCAAATGGAGCCCCTTCCCTGCCGTTTCAATGCAAGGGTAAGAGGGAGGAGGCTTCAGCCACTTTCCGCTGCTGTCTTTCATGTGAGAGCGGTCAGAAGCAAACGTCTTCAGATAAACATCTGCTCGAACTGCCCTGATTTTTCTAAACAAACATACAAATTCGAACACACTCAGTGGCGGAGATACTTGATTCAATATACAGTGCAAGCCTCGTATTCTGTCCTCTTACCTGCGATATTCCGGATAAATATCATCGTCTGATTTAAAAGCCTCTTCAATGTAAGTATCAAACAGACACGGAAATGGCAACACTGTGTCAAGGTCATAAATGAAGTTTTGGTCTCCACTGGAATCATGAAGTAAAATAACATGGTAATCCTAGAAATAAGAGTTACTGATAGTTAGCAAGAGTTGCTAATGATCAAGAATAAATCCCATCTCACATCATTACCAAAGCACAGTACATGTGTGACAGCACAGGGGTGAGCTGGGCCCGCCCTCTTTCCTGACACCATGGACAGACATTAGGGTGGCCATCATAGGGGACAGTTTGGTTGTCCACTGTCCTCTATTGATACGAAACCCGATGCCTTTATGTCCTCTATCTTTCTCTTGCTTGACATAAAGATTTCATATCAATAGAGGAGAGAGGGCACCCAGACTGTCCTCTATGACAGCCACCCTAACAGACATGTATTTGAAGTGCTCCAAACAACTTGCCCACCCTCCAACCCCCACACAACACTTCAAAGTGGCTACACTGGCATTTAGCAGCATTGCCAGAGGGCTAAAAAGGTGTAATCCATACACCCTCCAGTCTTCAGAGGCTCCTGAAGAGAGAGTGCTCACTGGCTGTCTGCCCTGCTTTTGGGGCAAGGGCTGGGGCAAACCACCATGGGATACCAGAAAACCAACGGTCTATACACACATTTCAGGAAGTAGGAAGCATTTCAAAGATGTTCTTCATTTTCTGAGGGTCATTTTTTAAGTACTCCTTCAGCCCTACAGGTCTGTAATGCCCTAGCATTCGGAGTGCTTCAAACAGCACATCTGTCCAGAGCTCTAATCTCTTCTCTGGGCAACTCTGTCCAAGCGACTCATCCCAAAATGCACTCCCTCCAGGTGACAGGCCCCTACTTGCTCCCTTTCCAGAGTGTAACTCTGTGGATCACCCTACTATAGACTGGATCAGGCTACAGGTGCCCCTTCCCCCACTGCTCTGCCATGGTTAGAGGCACGTGGTGCCTTATGACTCTCCATCATCCTTCATGAGTGAACCCCTTCAGTTAACAGGTTTTGCTACGTTCCCGTCTCTGGCAGGAACCCCCCAGCACTTGGAAGGAACCTCAGGATAGTGGCCTTCCTGTTAACACATCAGGTTCAGCTAAAATTGGTGCCTGTTCCACAATCTTCTGTGGGTAGCTGTGACCAGGAGCCAATTACGGTGATTTGAAACGAGTTCGCCCGACCAGATATTTCACGTGTACACCCGAAGCCAGTGGAGAGAGCTCTGCATTTGGCTGTAGCTCATCAGACCTCTTCAGTGATCTTGGGCACATCCTGCAGACATCCTCCCACTTAATCCCACAGCCTTGCAGCAAGTTGTCCAATACTACTGTCTTCCAGAAAAGCTGTTGTATGGTCCAATCTCTTCTTCCATCTAACTGAGGGCTTTAACAGCCAGGATTTCTTTTGATCCTAGTCTCTTACCATGAAAAAATAAGTTTATAGCCCTTCTGGTAACAGGTAGGTAGATAATTCCTAATGCCTACTTCCCCTCAACAATTCTCTTAAGGACCTTTAGTAGTTTGCCTGGAGATATTATCCCTGTTGTTGATTCACTTCCTACTTCCTCCTCCATAACAGCCTCCTTTAATCTAAGTCTGTACAATCAGCCTGAATAATATCAAGGAGGTAAACTGAGGTACGTAACACTCCCACAAAATAACAGAACTATCTCCCTCATTCTCCAAACCAGAGTTAAAAAAAAATGAATGGGGTTACCTGGTTTTCTTTTTTGTCTCAGCCCCAATGAAAACTGGCACAGAAATGCTGACAGCTTGCTTGTTTCTGAAGAGATTACTGCTTAATTTGAATGCTGTTTTTTACCTTTCTGTAACAAGGTGATCTGCCCATTAAAGACGAGGGCACCTGGGGCCGGCCAGCCCTCTTCCATTATCAGCCCCAGCTGAGGAAGGAACATGTAATTATACAGCTGGCAAACGGCTTGGTTGAGGGCGAGCTGTAAGAGGGAAAGGGATTTCTGTTATAGCTCCTGAAACAGGGTGAAAGCCTTGCCTCTGAGAGTCAGACTCCATGATGGACATAGGAACCATTTTGTTTTGACCCTTTACTCAAGTTTTATGAATAAAACCAGGCCCTAAAAGATAGTTAGGGCACTGCCCAGTGACACAGGTAAGCAGTAGCTTGTGCTGTCATTTTTTACAATTAGATGAATCACATTGATTATAATGTAGTAAAGTGAATGGGAAATCCACTTACAAAGTCTGAGATGAAGTCTTTTGATATTTTCAGGGGAAAACACCATCCTGAAAGCATAATACATGTGACAGCCCTAGCCACTGGGGACTAAGAATTGAAAGGAACTTTAAGCAAGTTATATTACTAGCCTGGTACCTGGACTGGAAATGCAGGTCAATGCAATAACAACGTTTCAAAGCCTTTAGTCGAGACTAGAATGGGAAGACTGTCATGCCTGTGGAGTGTTAATCAAAACCTTTCATTTCAAAACATTTTTGTGGAAAAGTGTTCAATTCTATAGTGGCTTCTCCCCACTCCCCCTCTTCTCCCACCATTTCAATCTCATTAAAAACAGATTCTACAGTTATTTTTAAAGCTAAGGTATAAAGCCTACTACTTTTGGGAAGGACTCTTGCAGTAATTTAAAAAATATGGCAAACAGCCTTCATTAAGTTCTCCCAATCAAATCCCTCCCAGACTGAGATGACACACACCACTTTTTATTTTTGAAATTCAGCACCTAAATACAAGGGTTTATACTAAAAGTACTTTCTCAGCCTTTATTTACTGGAACTTGGGAATTGCTACTCCAGATTCTGATGGGTGCTCCATTACTGTGATTCAGAAAATTTGGTAAAATTTCTTGAATTGGAGAGGAAAGGGGGTTAGCTTTTGCCCTGACACACTGGTAGCTGTTGGTCCTAGCGAGATCCATGCAATAAATCCCACAGGTTTTGTGTGAGACTAGTTTTAGATGTGTTGCCTTTGATATTTTACTTCTTGAGGAATAATATAACCATCTGTGCTATCTTCTCTCTCTTTCTTCCTCTGTATGTTTACTACAGTTACTTGCTGTTAATCTTCCTTTTAAGCCTTTTACGGCTTGATTATTATTCTGCCATAGTAAAAATAAGGTAAGTGTCCTCAACATTGAGTCCTCCTTTTTATCCCTGTCTGTGATGTCTTGCCATTCATTTGAGCTTCTAGGATCTGTTATTCACCAAGCACTCCGCAGAAATTCCTTGGATAAAAGACCACTCTAGAATCCCATGTGCTACAGATACAAGCAATGATGGCATTTATCTTTGAACCAGACTAGATGGAGGGTTGTTCAACAACACAAGGTTCAAAATTAAAATCAAGGTGAAAGAACTGGTTCAGAGAGATTTCCTGTTTGCGGATGATGCAGCTTGGTTTCCCATAGTGAATCTTCCCTGCAAAATCTCTTGGGGAGATTTTATGAGCCATGCAAGAGCTTTGGGATGGAAATTAGTCCAGGAGGAAGAACCAGTACCTGACATCATTCTGGAGGATAAATCTCTTGTTAACATTGACAGTTTTTGCTACTTGGTTTCTATGATCAGCAGAAATCTTGACCTTCAGATTGAATTAACAGAATCAGAGAAACAGCTAAGAATTTTGGGCTATTACAGAAAAGTGCCTGGAATAACAGCAAACTATCAGCTAAGGTGAAGATGCATATCTAGGAGACTTCTTTGCTGTCATTCATGCTTTATGGTTCAGAAACACAGACTACATATGCTAGGCACATAAAGAGACTGAACAGCTTCCACATGAGATGTCTGCGTAAGATCCTGCAAATAAAAAGGGAAGACGGAATACCAAATGCAGAGGTACTGGAGCATGCAGACTGTATCCCCAAGAATATTTTGTATAGTGAAATCTCTAAAAAGCGGGATCACCTTCGATGGTGTTACCACAATGTGTGCAAAAATGATATGAAGTGGCTCAACATCAACACAGAAAGCTGGGAGGAGCACATAGAATCCTGTCCATACATGTCACTGGGTGCAGCTTAACATCAAGCAGCTTCGATCCAGAGGATGGAAGCAAAGCAAGAAAGAAGAAAGCAGCACGCTGTAAATATGGACTCCAACTCAGACAACATATGGATCCATGAAACTTGTAACAAGCTGTGTCACTCTCAAACTGGGCTTGTCAGTCAGGCGTTGGATCAGGCATCTGACTACTCTTATGTGTACACCATGCTCCAGAGGATTGACAGTTGCCTACTACTTGCCAGGCCCAGGACTGCTAAGCTTCTTGCTGTGAAGCTGCAAGATAAAGTCTAAGTGCATCTTGTCCATTATGCCCACATCAATATTTGATTTAGGGAAGAAATACTAGGAGAAATACGTGGCAATGCTAGTTGCAGTGTTTAATGTGCTACTAAAAGATGATACAACACTGCAGACAAAAGTATGTAAAAGAACCAACATAAAAGGGAATAGAATGCCTTACCCAAACTACAGGTTTATCTCCACATCCTGATCTCTGCTTCCAAAGTGGTATCTGCAAATTACAAGTATTAAGAAGTTCTTTTGAAGTAAGATTAAACAAACAGGTAAGATTTAAGACTATTACAGGACAAATTATTGTCTACTGGCTGACAAACGTAATTGGTTTATGTTGTATCTGTAATAATAATAATAATAAAGCTTCTATTAGTCTGAGGGTTTTTTTGGTGAGTTCCTAATTGGGGATCTATTTTGTATCCTACAATCTGTTCCATCTGTTTCCTACTAGGCTGAGGGATTTAATACATCTCAGGTTCCTGTCCAGTCCTGACTAACACATGCATGACAAAAATACTTTAGGGTCTTTCTTTGGCTTCCCATCATGCATGTGCCTGGGCCATCTTCCCACCAGTGAAAAGGCCTGAATCTCAATTTGGTGGTGACAAATGAGTGATATGGAAAACAACTTACCATCTTTCTGTCGTTGGATATGAAAATAACATAAAATTCTTCTAATTGATACTGATCCTGGCTTTGGATGTATTCACAAAGCTTCCAAACATTTTCTTCACTGTAAAACACAAGGGATTTTATTTAAGTGGCTGCTTCATTCCCAATTCATAAAACTCAGAGCAGGATAGCCACTGTGCTTTTCCCACTTCGAGCTTCTGCCCAGGACTTCCCGCTGACCCTTCCTTTACACACCTGTTTGTAAAGATAAAATTTAGAACTTAGACCTACGGTGTTTTTTTTATAACACAAATCTTCACATACAATTAATAAACAGTATTGCAGTCCAAATGTCTGACGGCTAAGCAGCAGCATTTGGTTGGCTCCAACCAAAATAAATGCTCTGCAGTATCGAGAGTCAGTATTGTGCCAGACTTTTCCCTTTCTCTTTTCCTCTTTCCTCTGAAGAAATTACCCTTGAGTTGAGTATCCCTTTGAGCCCCTTTAATAAAAAGCTGGCCTGAAAAGAGAAATGCAGGTGGTGAAACGCATGTAATGTTTTAAATAGAAGGATAGTACAGGAACAATCCTAACAATGCCACTGAACAGCCGCTGGTTGGGGATGATCTACGCGTAGCTGTGCCCATGTTCTTTCGTGGGTATTCCCAGGCTTCTGGGCTTTGCTGGTTACCCCTCCCTACCTTTCTGCTATATGTGTCAGGGTGTTTTTAAGCCTCCCCAGAGGCACTGGAGGTTAGCTACAGCCAAGCCTGGGGACTCTGGGGTGCACCAGTGCTCCCCCTGGGACCAAAACCAGAGGTTCCTGGTTGGAGGGTCTCGCCCCTCCACTCAGTCAGACCCATCATCAGTGGGGTCAGAAAGGAATTGTACCCCCTGGTCAGACTGGTACAGGCTTGGGAGGGCTTTTGCCTTCCTTTATAGTAGGGGGCTTGGCTCTCTGCCCAGGATCTTTTGAGTGCAAACGGACAACATGTCATAGAGGCAGGACGCCGGCTGCCCTGGCGCCTCTGCTCTCCCCCGGGGCAGGCTGGGGTGTTCACATGCAGAGCTGAGAGCACGGTTTGCGCGGGTAGCGGGGTCTGGATGGGGAGGACCCAGCTGACCCAAACCCCACACACCACTTGCTTGACCCCATTTACAGCCTGGCCGGAGCCTCCCTTGCCTGAGCCCGCAGCAAGATGCGACTGGCCGGCCCAGTCCCCAAATACGCAATGCTGTTTCTTAGCAGTGGCTCTCGGGTGTCCCCGCAAGATCACAAGCATGCATCAATCGACCACTTTTTTGCATAATTCAACTTTGCAAGGGACTCTGGGATGCAACGTTCAAGAAGACAGTGTGTCCCTTCCGGCCCCCCCTACCGGAGCAGCATTTGCTGGGCTGCTCGGGGCCCGGCGGTGCCTGCCCGCACCCGCGGGGAC